AGTTTGTCTATTCTTTCTAGTTCACTGATACACTCCTCTTGTCTGTCTCTTAGCTTTGACTAGTGCATTCTGGGCTGACCAGGGTAGTAGGTCTAGATTTTTTAAAATTGGTGATATTATCACTTTGGTGCCAAGAGATTCAAAACTAAAGAACCGATTTAAGGGAGGAGATTGAATCGAGAAAAGTAGAGAGCCCCTGTTTTCCCATTTCTGCCCAGGTACTGCCAATCAATGAGAGGCCACAAGCAATACCCCTTTGAAAGAAGCAGAGAGTATCTCTTTGATACTCTCCATGGCGGGGCTGGGGTGTCAGGCTGCTGCAGCCCGAAGGCGGGGTAGTGGGGGGTGGACTATGGAGATGAGCTTATTGCACAGAGCTCTACTTGTTATAGATCTTGTCCAGATGGGCCAACTGCACAAATCTGCCCTGTTGGAAGTCTCAAGAACAATGCCCTGGAGACAGCTACAGCACTGAGCAATAGAGCCTGCCCAACTGGGACTCAGATCAGGGCATCAGCTGGTGCTGGGAGCCAAGAAGCCAAAGTACCAACCAACATAATAGCCTAAAGGAGCTCACAAAGCTACTCAGAGGCAATGGAAGGTATTATCCCTTCCCATCAGTGGAAGGTACTATCCCTCCCCATCAGTGCCCCCAAGCAGAAAAGGGAGATGCATGGTGTCAGAATCAGGTGCAAATGGCTTTCATTTTCCTCACCCTTCTCATGTATGTACAGGAGCCAGTAGAATACTGGGTCCCATTGAGAGCATCTGGCACCTAATAATCCATTCAACCATGGAATTCTTGAACTTGGACCTTTCTTACCACAGTGAATTGGCTGGAGGTAATATAAGAGGCTTGCTTGGAGGTCACTTCCATTTATCATCATTCTTGTAGTACTCACCCCTCCAGAGACCCACACTACTTTCTGCCTGGATCACATCTGAAGTGATTTTGAGACCTAAAACAGCATTTTTTAAAGGGGAAAAGCTTCCTACACAAATAAAGTGTTTTGGGTGTTTTCATTAATTCATTGTTAATATTTAATGTCAGTTAAATATTTTATACGTATATTTTTCCAGAGAAAGGGCTTTATTTATTCAGCTGTTGTTAAGGCTGTCAGTGCCTCTATCTTTCCTTCAGTTTGCTCTGCTCTTTGGAAAACCAGTGGTCTGTCTTTCTCTTTCCATTTAGTCCACTATCAGGACCTCTTTCTCTCCCAGAATTCATAGACAAAGCACAAAGAGCTTTCTATGTGGAAGAAAAGTAGTGAATAAAATTTATTCTTTTAACTTTTTCCCATAAGCATTCTCCCTCACCTATCACAGAAAAAGGGCACTTTTTAGTTGAAATGTCAAGTTGACTCTTGAAGTTATTTTCTCTTTTCACTGAACCATGCAAATATCTCGACTTTGTCCAGAACATAACATCTCCTGGGAATCCTTTTATGTGTCCCCACTAACCTATCTTCACTCTTAATTGACTAGTATCAGTGTTATAGCTATTATTAGCTCATCACTTCTGGATATGAAAATCTTAAATTTGATTTCACTGTATTGGGATTAAAGATCTTCCTAGGCTGCTCTTTTGAAAGACTAATAAACCACCAAGTATTGATGGAAACCACCAGGGGATTAGGAAGCCAGGTAGTAGTACCATTTGTTCAATGGAAGAAAAGTAGAATAAGCTCCTGGAGGGAAGATACTGTACCTTATACAACTTTTTAGCCCACACAAATTCTGGTACTTAGCAAGACTCAGTCTGTATATGTAAAATGAAAGCATGACTTTCCGTTTGGTTTATCATATATATGTTTATTCTCTTTGCATTAAGTTATTTATCACAGAAAAGTAAACCTGGAAAAGATTTTATAAAATCACAAAGAGCTCATGGGCACGCACGTGCACGTATACACACACACACACACACACACACACACGCTCGCACATATATACAACTTTAATTCTTTGTAATAGAACCGAAGTTAAGAAGGCAGCAAAACTGGAGCAGCTCCATGGCCTAGTGGTTAAGGGAGCCAGATCCCATGTAGCCTATCATTTGAATCCAGGTCTTGCAGCCTGAAAAATACTCCAGGAATGTGTGTGTGTCCCAAATCCCAACAGGATGGAAAAATGGAGAAGGGATCATGGTACGACCACACACTATTAGGGGGGGTGCTTTCTCCCTATCCCTCTCTCTCTGTCTCTCTAGCTCTGTCAAGTGGATGTGTCCTCTGGCAATTACACATACACAAAAAAAGAAGACAGCAAAACTTTGTGAGTTGTTATAATTGAATTATTATGTGATAACTAAGATTGTGACAATATTCCAATTAAACATTAATAATACTCCAAATATGAAGATAGTATCAAGATAAACCAATCACCAATGAAAACCATGGCATTGACAAGTGAGTACAGTATGGGAACTTGGGCAGTACAACTATCTGCCCCCCCCCCGCCCCACCTCTTGTCCTCTTGGAGCCCGCTTCACCTGTTGTCCTATTGGAGAACCAGACATCACTGAAGGGATAGCAATTGAGCTGTTCCCAGACTCGCACTTTTTGCTACATCATACTTCACAAATAGGAAGACACTTACAGTTTACAAACTTGTCTTGGGAGCATCAGATAGCTTGCTAACAAATCTGAGGCCAGGAAGAAGGAGGGCATCTGAACCAAGGGCTTTCACCCTCAGAGTATTCTCTCCATGGAAGAATGGGAAAGTAAGTCTGCTGTCATGGAGCCACCTGAAGAAGTCACAAGAGAACTCAGCTATTGCCACTTTGCCTGAATAGCTAGGTGTTTTTCAGTCTCTGCTTTACTATGAGGCTTTCTGCAAACACCCTAGCTACATTATCCCACCATCACTTTCATCACCTAAATTCAGGGAACATTTTGCCTTACCAAGTTTGATCTAGAAAAATATACACGTATTTTCTATTTTAATAGCTTCCATTCATGACAGTGTAGTGATTAAGACAGTGTGGTGACTTTGGTACCAGATGGAGCCTGGGTTTGAATTACAATTCTGTCACTTACTAGATATGAGTTCTTGGACAAATGACTTCCCCCGCCTCAGCTTCAGTTTCCTCCTCTAAAGGGCCATTTGAAGGCTCTAAAAGATCCAGCATACAGTTACTATGTGGCCTTGAGTAAAACATTGAATCCTTCTGTGCTTCAGTTTTCACATTTTTTTACACAAAGGTGATAACAGTACCTACCTAATAGGGAGGGCTGTTATGGGAATTAAACAAGATCATGCAGGGCCAACCGATGGTGTGGTGATTAAGGTATTAGATTCCATATAGCCGACTCCATGATTGGACTCATGGACTTGGCGGCTTGCATAACACACTGGGCGCATGTGTGTGTGTCCCAAATCCTGAGAGGAGAATAGAGGAAAAGGTATTGTAGTATGGCCATACCCCCTGGGAGGGGTAATTTCTCATTTTCCTTCTCTTTCTGTCTCTCTTTGTCTCTCTCTGGCAAGTATGCATGCCCTATGGAAAACAGGAAAAAAAAAAAGATAATACAGATAAAGTGCTTAACTCAGTGCTTGGCGTATAGTAAGTACTCAATAAAAATGAGCTATTTCATGACCAGCTTACACTATCAACTCTCTGTTCTCCACCTGTCAAATTTCTTCTTTTTAAAATATTTTTTATTATTTAATTTTATTTATTATTATTATTATTTTAATTTTCTCTAGGACGCATGTGCTTATCAGAGAGATGAGGGAGAGAGAGTAAGAAAGCAAGCCACCTGTTCCAGGACTCAAACTGTGGTCAGCCATACTGGAGTTCAGTGCCCCAACCACCATGCCACCTGCTGGCCCCCACCTGTCAGATTTCTAACACATGGACCTGTTTGAAACTTCTAATT